CGGGGGGGCGAGCGTATGGAAGGACGGTGGGATGGAGGGACGGATGGACAGCGATCTACTTTTGTTATCAGGGCCCGGCAATAAGATTTTCTATTGCAAATTTTTCATTTTTCTGGCGCACGATAACAATACTTTCTCTTCTTACGTAATAAGGACAAGTAAAAATAATAATTGGTGGGTCTCTCATCCCTCCTTCCGCCCCCTCCCGGGTATGATAGGGTCATGAAGCGCGAGAAGTTGTAAGTGTTACGCAAAAGACTTTGAATTAGTGGTCTTTTAACAACACATATTTTTGCATTATATCTAAATTTTCAATTTTCAAACATTCAGAGAGCTCATCAAAAATCAGAAATCTTTTTTTTTTTACGAAAATATTTTTTTTCGGTGTCAGGAGAACCCAAAAGTGTATTTCTGTATATTATGTTTATGTATTATTCCGAGTATACTTACCGATAAAAAAAATAAAAATTTGCTGTTTAATAAAACAACAAGTTTATAGCATATGTAATTGCGGGCGGCCTCTCTCTTGCAAATATGGTCACAAGATGTGTCGTAAATCGTGACGTGACTGAGTATGAGGGTCCGGTCGATTCGGCCAATGCGAGAACAGGCGAAATATCATCACCAAGTACCTGCATTTTGCGGTCAAAACCAGAGTTCCTGGGTACCTAGCGAAACCAAAGACATCTCTCCAAAAGCCGTCGGTTGAATAGTTTTCTTTCAATCCCAGAGCGCGTTTGAAATTAGTTCTGTAGATCATGTAGTTCAATTTGTAAATTGGATATTTTCTAATTTCATGTCCTGGGAATGTTAGCTATTAACGAGGCGGCAGGGGGCCCGAGGCAGGTAGGCGCGAGAGGCGACGGCGCCGCTCAAGGAGACGAAGGACACCCACCACAGTGCAGGGCGCGCTGCGGGCGCGGGCTTATGCGCTGGCGCACAGCAGCGACACCCCACTCGCTCACTCCTTACGGAGTATACAGAAAATATTCTAATGCTGGGGGACACACTGCGATTTTCGACAGAACAACTAGCATTATAGAGATAAATCTTGTTCCTATAATAAAGGATTTGTATAATAAATAATACGTATATGTAAGACATATTACGTAACAAATTGCTTCCCCTATCAGATGTAGATCCCCTATGTAGTCAGAATCCATGTTTTGTGGACACTTGATATCAAAAATTACTTCACGACAATCCGTCCGTCTGTCAACAACGCTAACGGCTAATCCGTTGGCAGGAGTTTAACCATTATCGATTCCAATTATCTATCACCAATTACATATTTGATATATATTTGATACATAAAAACCCAGGAAATTATGAACATAAAGTTAAAAAATAGATTCTTTCACATGAAGTTTAAAACCACTTTTTAATCAAGTTTATCTAATATAATTTATTCTTAAATTAAGACATAAAATAAGACTTAAATTAACTAAATGAGACTTGTAACTTGGACTAATACCTTTATTATTGCCTCATGAATCCAGATTAACACGAAAAAACACTATCTTCACGAATGAAGATCATGTTTATGGCAAACAATTTTCAAACAATGGACAGAATATTTAAAATTCAATTCCCAAAATACGTAATCATCGATTTTAATATTCATTTCAAAAAATTGTTAAAAATCTATTTTTCACATGCTAAAACATGGTTCTTGGACCTTCACCATATTATGAATATTTTTCAATAAATATCGATTGGTTGTTTGGGTTTTCGAGCGCGTCAACTGCTAAGGCCATTAGTCCCGTAGGTGTTGTGACCTTCCTTCGCTGGGTGGCGACGTCCGTCAGCTGGCGGGGGCTTGCCCCAATCAAGCGCCTCTCACTGGCGGAGCGCCGGCACAAGCTCCGACCTCGCCACTGGTCGCCGGCGAGTGTGGTGACGTAGTGCATGTTAACGTGTGTGTGTGTGGGTGCAAGAGGTGGGGATAGATCCAGGAAGTGGAAGGAACGATAGTGCATGGTCACGCGGTCGGTGGTAAATGGTCGGTGGTAAATATTAAGATGCTGCTCTGGCATTCGCCTGGAGTTTATCGCAGAAACCACGGAATACTTCCGAATTCTCTTGCAGACAGCCAGTGAAATGGAGCTAGCTGACAAGCTAGTGTCGAAAGTGCTGCCGCCGTCCGGGAGCGGAACCCTACGACCTCCCGGCCAGAGGCACCGCAAGGACATCAGCTAACCCGGTTAATACATGTCGACTTTTAAGTAATTAATATTAATTACACTATTCCCACTACATACATATTAATGATAATCGTAATTAATATGCATGTGTATAATATGTGCCCCGCTGCAAGGGGAAACCCCACAAGCCTACGTGCAGGTGGAAGGTGGATACCTCACCGCCTCCTCCAGAGATATAAAGCAAGAGCAGTAAGCAGTTAGCAGTTGACACACACGAACTAACCAATCGGGGAGCGAACGCGATCAATGGATCGCGCGATGGCGTGCAGTGCGCGACGCGCGAGTCTTCTTACCAGCGGTGCATGCGGCGGCCGCGGAGCCTCGGCGAGGGAGACGGCGAAGGCGCAAGCGCAGCCGAGGGCGAGGGCGAGAACCAGCGCAGGCGCCAGCGGCGACATCCCGACTGTCGCGCGCGCGCCGCGGCCTCCTCCCCGCCCCCGCCCCACTCCCCATGCAGATAGCGCCCGCCCAGATACGCCCATCCGCAGCGCCCAAGCTGCCGGCCGCGCCGCGCTCATCCAAGGCGGGAAACGCGCCAGTCCACAGCGGGGAAATTTCCGGGAGATCGCAGTCACGCGCTGCCTGCCCTCACCTCACAGATGAGAGCGAACTCCTGCGCAAATGTCACTTTTCGTCTCACTCCATGTTCCGTCCGTTGCTGATTAATTATTTCGTTTTTCTGAGCGACGACTGATGGGATTCACTGGAGGTCAACTGATAAGATCATTAGTTGCGTAAGTGTAGTGCATGTTTTTCTAGGCGTCGGGGCCTACAAGGCGTCGGGTTTCTACATTCTTTATAAGCAACCTAAGCACCTGCTGGACAAATGAAACCGAAAAAGCGCGATGACACCAAACACATTAACTTTGAATTTCTGCGCAGGCAATACGCGCGCCGGCTGGCTACTATCAATCTGAACTTTTGTTTTCACTTTCTTGCCCTCAGCAAGTAAGAATAGAAAATATTGAAAACGTACGCCAGAAAATGAGATGTACAACACCCAACCAGATCGCTACAAACTTGAAAAATGTGTCTACATAATAGAAAGGGAGGGCAGACTGTTCTCGCGTTTCCTCCCAGGAACTAGATGAGCTATGAGAGGTAACTAACAAAAGTGACAATCTAATGGAACAAAATAATCGTGACTCTTCAGACTATGACAAAACCAAGCACTTTCTCAATAAACTGAACTATGTGTTTCATGAATATTCCCAGAATATCAAAATACACTTCATTGTTCTATTTTGTTCAATAGCTGTTTCCAATAAGATAAAAAATCTTGTACTGTGAGGATCCTCTTTACCCTTGTAAATTTCATTGACTCATGAATGAATCATATTTTATTGCTCAACATTACTTTGTACACAAATAATTGTATAAATATCTATCCATTCTATTCCTAATATTTAAATTAGATCCCAGCGTTTACACAAGTCAAAACAACAAAAAAACTCTTTAACAAAATCACAACAAACAATATCGTTCTTCTGGCTCCTGGCTTCTGGAATAGGAAGTTGACAGTATTATCGTCTACCCTATACCGCTGGTGCTTAATAAACGTCTATTCACAGAACAAACAATATACTTAATACTTAATGAGTTCCTCCAGAGCTGAAATTCCCAGCAGTTATTTTGGTGACTTTGGTAAGCCGTCTCCCCAGACCCCGCAGCTCTGCACTGAGATCAGTAGTCGAACGGCCGACACCGAAGTCCTCCGTGCGTCTCCGCCCACCAACACGAAGATGTTGGCCCCGCTGCACCGCGTGGCCGTAGTTGAATCTCCGGCCGCCTCGCCTGATCGCTGCAATCTCCACACACGCAGAAAATGCAAATCCCTCAGCGAATCGCTAATCATTCTGCCCTTGGCGCGATGAAACGAACTTTGCCTACGTTCCGCGTGCTCTCAGAACGGCCACGTGACCATGAAATTCACCCACTTCCTCTATATTGTTACTGTCATTGTATAACAAAACGTTCCGCATATAATTAAACTTACTTCTCCTTCCACTGACTACCGCATTCTATGGAACACAGTTCTAGGCGCTTCACTTTGGTTCATTTCACCAAGTCCATCCCCAATACATTCAGTCCTAATCGAAATTATGGTTGCATTTACGTAGGTATACACGGACTAATATACGTAGTTTAGGGAAAATTATGTAATGCCACGGCAAATCGATTTTAAAAGAAATACACGTTTTTGAGTGTCTGATTCCGAAAAAGTAGTAATTTTCGAAACGTCCGTCTCTCTGTCCGTCTGTGAATACCACTAGCGCCCAAACCATGCGTAGGATTTCTTTTCCAAATTGAAGAAATCATTGTCCATTTGGCCCGAGACAAAGTTGAATTTTTGAAAAATTTTCTTTAAAATTTGGGAGTACTTTACATTAACCCCCACCCGGACATTTTCAAAATTTTCAAAAAAAGTATCCAAAGTTCTTCTTCAAATTTCTTGTGAATGTAGTGTAAAACACTTATAAAAGTAGTAGGTCCGATTTTCACTGCTAACTCTGAAGTTTCGAAAATTTCAAAATTTGATTTTTTTCGTCTTACTATAAATACAAAATTGAAGACAGATTTTTTCTTCAAATGAAATTTGTTGATCATAATTAGTTCTTTCATGGTCATGTACTTTTTTTTCGAAAGTTTTAATTATTTTCGGGCAATATTGCGAACAATACATGCAACTTTAAAAAAAAATACAAAAACAAGTTCTTTTTCAAAAAGGATGCAAATCTGTTCTTGAAACTGTTTGTACGCTAGTATCAAATGCACTCTATAATATGACAAAAACGCCATGTTGCTCAAATCGTTTGTTTCTTCAAAAATTACAAAAAAAGTTTTTTTTGACGGCGATATTTACTTTAGCGGCAATTTCTTCACATTAATGAGTACATGTGTTTTAAATAATATCATATACAATTTCTCGAAAACTCAACCGTTTTGTGTGAAAACTAACTCATTTTCTACGAAGAAGCAGTAGCATTAGCTGAAGCATTAGAAGCTACTAGTGCATTTTCAGAAACGCTTAAACGCCATTTTCTCAAAAACGTACAGTTCATTTCGATGTACTTTTTTTAAATTACACATATTTATATAAATTATACATAAACAAATTACACATATTTGAAATATCTCTCACGCCGTTCATATGCACATTTCCAGAAATTTGACACGACCACATGTGTAAGTTCATATGCTTCAAATGATTTCAAATTAAGTTTTTTCTAAAACTCAAAAATTTTCTGTGAAAAAGAGCTTCAAATTCAAGCAATTCCACTGGCGCTTAAGCGCTATTTTCTTAAAAATCACTCCAAATATTTCAAAGAAACTTGCTTTGACAACAAACAAAGAAACATTGGACGAGATTTTACTGTTATTTAATAATCTTAAAATAATATATTGGTTCTACTATAATAAAACCGAAAAATTAAGAAGAGTTCAAAATGCACTTGGGGTGACAGACGGCAACAGGCAATATTATGTGGCAAGTTCGAATTGCGAGTCGAAACCATAGCAAATAGAAAACAAATTCGGGAATGTCTGTGTCATTCTGTCGCACCACTAGTGTAATTTCCCGTATACAAACGTCTGTATGTATGTATGTATGTATGTATGTATGTATGTATGTATATATGTATATATGTATGTATATATATATATATATATATATATATATATATATGTGTGTGTGTGTGTGTGTGTGTGTGTGTGTGTGTGTGTGAGAGAGAGAGAGAGAGAGAGAGAGAGAGAGAGAGAGTGTTTTCATTGAGAGGACTTCCACCCCTTGTTTTGTGTGGCACTATCATGGCACAGACCTACGTTGATGTTTTAAACACCTTCTTGCTTCCCACTGTTGAAGAGCAATTCGGGGATAGCGATTGCATCTTTCAACACGGTCGAGCACCTATTCATACTGCACAGCCTGTGGCGGAGTGGTTAAACAATAGCATCCCTGTAATGGACTTGGACAGCACAGAATCCTGACTTGAATCCTATCGAACACCTTTGGGATACTTTGGAACGCCGACTTCGTGCCAGACCTCACCGGCCTAACATCCATACCTCTCCTCAGTGCAACACTCCGTGAAGAATGGTGTGCCATTCCCCAAGAAACCTTCCAGCTCCTGATTGAAAGTATACCTGCGAGAGTGGAAGCTGTCATCAAGACTAACGGTTGGCTAACCCCCCACTGAATTCCAGCATTACTGACGAAGGGCATCACGAACTGGTAAGTCATTTTCAGCCACGTGCCCGGACACTTTTGTTCACTTTTGACACTTTTGATATAAAAATAATGTTGGATATCATCTGTTCCTAATTAGTCATGTTCCCAGTTTATCAATTAAAAATCATAAAGAAGCAATTAATAAAACAACCAAATGCAAATAAAGTACTTATTAAAAATTTTAAAATTAACACAAAATCAATAACAAATAAAAATAGTGAGATAACCAAGTGAAGTTTTCGGCAAACATTTTTTTCCGTATCGTGACTCAAACTCAGTTCTTCCGAGTTAATTCGGTGTGAGCCTTACCTCTACATCATGGAAGCGGTGGGGGAACTAAATGATTCTTTTCAGCGTCCCTTGTTTAATATATGGAAAAATGATCATTTTTTGAGAAAATATTATTTTTATAATTTGCATTAATTTCAACCAGAAATTACGCTAAACAACTCTTTTTTTAAAGTAATCTTTTTAAACATAATCTTTTTAAAGAGCTAATTACTTATAACAGACTTTCTTTAAGACAAACATCTCTATTGTAACAACCAACACGCGCTGCGTAGGGAAACGCGCGCGGTTAGCGGCCCGGTTCTAGCTC